GACCCCAGCCCCAGCTCCTCAGCCAGGCCTCCTCTGCCTGGAGGCAAAGGACTCCTGGGAGGTCCAAGGAATAGGTTTGGAGTGGAAGGTGTCCATAAAAACTCTCATTCGCTAAGGCCACCGGTGGGGTGTCTATGCATGCATGTGTTTACTGGGGAAAGGGTCCCCTTCAGCAGAACCCAAAAGGAGTCTTCAAATCCTCCCAAAAGTTAAGGCCTACCACCTCTGGACTCACCCCCACCTCCACCCCCAGCTTCCTTCGCCTCGAACAGCCTACCTCGCTCAATTATAAATAGAAACCCTCTCTGGACACGCATCCAGAGTGACAGGACGGGCCTGAGTTGGAGCAATGAGCAGAGTCATCACCAGCCCCGTCCTCTCCTGGCCTGAAAGGCCACCATCTCTGGACCCTCCCTCTCTCTCCTCCGCAGCCAAGAGACCACTGAGACACATGTCCTTCCCCTTCTCCTGCATGTGCTTGTCTGTCTTCTAGAACATGAGGTTAGCCCCCGCCCTTAGCAATCCAGAGCCAGGAACCAGGAGGATTAGGAAGCTCCTGTGTCCCCAAGACCTCCTTGGCACCCACAGCCTCCTGGAGTGGCCTTGCCCCAGTGCAGAACCAGGCAGAGGCAGGTTCTGAGACACCTCTCTTCTGAGCTCTAGCCACCTGCTGGATAGGTACGGGGATGTCCTGTGGGCATCTTGTACACATTGTCCTCCAGCCCAAGTCTTCTCAAGCCCCAGTGCTTCCACCCCAAGCAGAAATCTGGGTGCCAGTCACACTGTCTCGTCTCCCCAAATACCAAACTGTTGTTGATTCAGCCACCTGCTGATCTCCCAGCCCTCCCCTCTCTGTCCCCAGGGACAGAGATGGATGAACTGCCCAGACCACCGCATTGGCCCTCTCGTTGGCCTCCTGTCCCCCCCCTTCTGTTCCCCACGTGACTTCCACAAACACAAACCTCCGCACACACTGACCTGCTAAAACCCTGTGTTAGAAACCCATCACCTTCAGGATAAAATCCAAACTCCATCTGTGCCTCTCAGGACCTGGCCCTGAGTTTTCTCCAAACTCATCTCTTATCATTTGCCCATTTCAGCCCCAGTGCCTTGAACTCCCTATAAACCTCTCCGTTTTGGTGCCTGGTGCCCCTGGCCCTCCCCAGCACTGTGCCCCAATCCTCCCTCTTCACCACTACAACTCACTCTTCCTTCAAACTCCGCTCCAAGGTCATGTCCTGCACGGGGGCCCTCCCAGAATCCTTTCCCCAGCGTGAGTCACCAGTTGCACCTCTGTGCATCCCTCTCCAAGCTCGTGCTAATCAAGCAAACATGACTATTTACTTGTTGGTGACCCTTTGAAAGGAGGAGGTGCTTCAGGCCTCGCAGTGTGCCGGAGCTGTCTTGCACCAGCTGGAAGGAACTAGTCATGCACCTCTCTTCCCCAATCCACACTCAGTGACATCACAGTGGTAGCTTAACATTAGCCGAGGTGGAAGCATTTACACCATGGTAATTGGCAAATGCTATGAACACTACAAATCAGGATTTCTTTTCCTTTTTCTTTCTTAAGGGCTGGTTGTTAACCATTTATTAGTATGCCAATGCTTAGGCCCAACCCTGACACACAGGAAATGTGTGTGCAATGGATGGATGGATGCATGGGAAATCCACAGAAGTTCCTTGCTCCACATACTGCCCCCTAGTGGATGGGGCACACATATGCTCACCCTCCATCAGATCACATTCTTGCTCCCTCCTCAGTGTCCTATGTCCTTATCATCCTCACCAGCCCCCTCTGGACAAACCAGTCCTGCCAGTTCTCCAATCAGCTGGTGGGTTGAGTGGATGGAAAAGAAGGACAGTGCGGACAGCACGGGGCCTCCCTTGGGGGGGATGGGTATGACAACATGGCTGCTTCCTCTGCCAAGATGTTGGTAGAGACAGGCAGAAAGGGCATCACCATCCCCAGGAGGAAAACTGAACAATGGGTAGGGTAGGTGACGGTGAAGAGGACAGTCGTGAGAGGGCAGCAGCACCTGGGAGGGAAGAGAGCTGGCTCCTCCCCCAGGGAAGCCCCATAACAGCCTCTCCAGTGCCCCCATTCTGATCGATACCCAGATCAATGGACACAATTGCCTCATTAAAGGCTCTGCAGGAAAGCCACGAGCCTCTGTCAGCATCTGCCGCACTCTGCCTGCTGTCTCTCTCAGCTGTCTCCCTCAACTGGCTCCTCATCCTCCTCCCTCGGTCTGTGGGCTCCCTCTCAGCTTGCCTCCCGGGCCTGCCCCGTCTGCCCCAGTCAGCTGTCCGTATCTGCACCCCGGTCGGTCTCTGTCTTCAGCTTCCTCTCCACGCCTTTGTCTCTGTCACAAGTCTCTGTGCCTCCCTCTGTTTCTGTCTCCTCCTCCTGAGTCTCTATCACCCCCTTATCTCGCTGTCCCTTTTGTCTCTGTCTTCCTGGTGTTATACATGCCCCACTCCCTCGGGGCTCCAGCTTGCCCTCTGTGGCCTCGGCTGTCTCCCCCTTCACCTTCTCTTCTGCTGTGTTTTCTATCTAAATCTCTGTCTCTCTCCATCTCCCCCCACCCCGTGCCTCTTCACTCCCCTACTTGCCCCCCTCTGCCCCTCCCAGCAGCCTTAGGGGCCCAGATGGCGGGACGTTCACACCGCAGTGCCTGCAAGTGCAGGACCATAGCTGCTTCTGGGACTTCTCACCACCCCCGCGGTCCCTGGGCCTGCTGGGCATTAGTCAGTCATCTGCCTGGCCTGCTGGGGACTCCCACTCAACCCTATGGGGCTCTCAGCAACCAGGTATTGGAACAAACCCCTCCCTGGGGCAGACGCTGTGCCACCACTGAGTGGGGACTCCTTGCCGCTGAGGGTTTGGTGGGCCATCCCCTGCTTTCCTCAAACACTCGGGCAAGGAGATGTTGAGGTACCCCTGACTGATCACTTCTACTTTCTCACCTAGAGGATGTCCTTCTTGACGTCTAACTGAAAGCCCTCTTGCTGTGGCTTCATCTGCCCTCTGTTTCTGTGACTCAGCTTCTTTCTAGTGTAAAGCCTCTACCAAGAGCATCCGGCTGGGTAGAAACTGATAGGCACGCTGGCCCCCCTAAAAGACACTGAGTGGGTGACCCTCAGGGACAGGCACTGACAACAGCCAGATCTGGTATGAGGAAGAAGAGGCTGAGGTTCAGGCTCAGGGAGCCAGGGTAAAAGGAGATTAGGGGTTGCTACCCTCTGGGTCCCGGCAGCAGAAAACGCTGCCCCCACCAGCCTGGAACAGCAAAGCACCTGTCCCAGGGAGGCTGGCTGAGCGGGCAATCGTCCCCACCCCCGCGCCCCAGGCGCCCAGACGCAACACGCCCATCACAGTGTCATACTCCCCACCTGCTGGCACTGCAGCTGGCATCCTTCCTGCCCACCTTCCTGCCTCTCACCTCCACAGGGAGGGAATCCGGCAGAGACGGCTGGCGGGCGGGGCGGGCGCGCTGAGGCAAGAGGAGGGGGTGCCAGCATGGTGTCACGGTGATGGGGAGGGGCAGGGGGTTGGGCACACCTGGCTGGACAGGGTAACTGGGGTAAGAGCCCCGTGCTCACAACACTGTGGGCAGGGATCAGAGCGGGGAGGGAGCCGGCTTCCAATCCCCTGAGGAATGAACATGTCGTATCCACCCAGACCCAGCTTGGACCTATGTTCAACCCAGCCTCACCCTTGGTAAGGACCAAGCCTCAACCCAGGCCCCCACTTCCTCCCTCCCTGCGGGTACTGGCAAGCCAGTCCTATCCCCTTGTAGTTGCCCTACTCCTCCCCACTGTTCAGGTGTCCCGTCCACTCCTCTGGCCTTGACGTGCCTCTACCCACAATCGGGGGAGCTGGGCAAGCCCGCAGCTTCGGTGTCACGCCAGGAAAGGTCAGGCTCTTGTGACCCAGTTCCCGCCCTGAGCCCCAGGAAGGCGAGAGAAGAGCACAGAAGGGCCTGTGGAAGGACGGCAGCACCTGCCTGCTGCCCCCCTCCCTTTCCAAGAATCAGCCAAGGGGGCGACCTGAAAGGCCACGCTGCAGGGAAGGACTGTCTTCCAGAAGGAAGACAATGGAGGGGGTGGTCAAACTCGGTTGTGGAGCTCCATGGTGCCTGCCACCGCCCCCAGTCAATGTGAGGGGTGGGGGTCAGTGGGTCCCCCAGGCCACCCTGTACAGCTCTGAGGGTGAGGGCAGCTTCCCTCCTGAGCCCAGGTCCCACTGCTGGCCGCCATCACCCCACAAAACAAGCCTGCTCCCTCTTCCACAGGAGAACCCTTCAAATATTTGACGACAGTGCGCCAGCCCCTGCTGAGCCTCCCCTTCTTCCAACTAAACATCCTGGTTCCTAGAACAATTCCTCAAACGCAATGGTTTCAAGTCCCCTCGCCATGCTAGGCACTCTCATGCACCCAGCGCCGTGCTCACAGCAAGGCTCGCAGCACGCAGGCCAGGAGCGGAGAGCCTCGGCTGCACCCGGCTGCACCCAGCTGCACCCAGCTGCAGTCGCCAGCCCTCCACTCTTCGCCCCTACCTGCACAGGCCCCTTCTGCCTCCAGTCCATCCTGACCCTAATTATGGAGTCAGGTGAATGGTAAAGGATCTCCCAACACCTCCCCTCCCTCCCATATCTTCTCTAAAGACCCAAATCTCTTCCAGTGACTTGTTCCTCCAAAGAGGCCTTGCCCACATCTGATGCAAGTTGCTCATTCATATCCTTCAGAGCCGGACTCCTCCGGGGAGCCTTTCCCAGCAGAGCATGCCCAGCTCAGGCACTGCCCCTGCCTTGGACAGCTTCCACACTCAGAGACGCATGACATTCACTGGTTTGCACCCTCTGAAAGCGCTCACGCGCTGCTGCATCTCCCTCCCGTCCTCTCTGCCATGCAGGCCAGCAGCGTGGAGAGGAAGCCAAAGCCAGGGATAGGACGGGAGGAGGCAGAGGGCCCCGGGGACTGAGCCCTTGCCCTACCTGCTCGTGGTACTCGATACCCATGCTGAGCGTGTTGACCAGGATGGCGATCATGATCCCCCGACCGAAGTACTTGCTGTCCACAATCTTCCGGAAGGTGTCACAGACCAGCCTCCAGAAGGCCAGCGCAGAGTTGGGCTCCCCGTCCAGCCCCAGACTCCGTCGCCGTCGCCTGTGGGGGTCTCGGAGGTCACCGTGCTGGGCATCCTGTGTGAACTCATAAACCGCCTCGCTGTCTGAGTCGGGCATCTCGTGGCCGGCGAGCTCCGCCTCCCCTGCCCCAGCCCGGGCACAGTAGGGGCAGCTGTCCGGGCCACAGGCTCCACTGTCTGCCTTCAAGCAAGGGCTGGAGATCTTGCAAGAGCTTTGGCAGGCGCCTGGGACAGGAGGGTAGAAGTTAGAGGCTCCAGGGTTCCTTAGTTGGGGCCGCACTTCCCTCTGAGGGTGGGTAAAATGAGTGGGGGAACGTAGAGTGATTCCAAATGATGGGGGTGCGAGGCACTTAGTGGGGCAGGGGTGCTGAACGCCCTGCAGCGTGGGCGGTTCTACACGATAGATCGTCCTCTGACACCAAGAGCACCCTACTGACAGCCTCTGCTGTCCTCGGGTCGGGCGGGCAGTCCTGACCTCCTCTGAGGTCCTGGGCAGCTTTTATGTCCAGGAGCCTTCAGTAAGGAACCCAGATCACCTCTCCATCCCCAGGAAGCCAGCCCTGCATGGCCACTGCTCAAGCAGCACTTTTCAAAGAACCTTTAAGACACACACACATGAGCTCACATACACCCCCAGATGCACATACGTGTACACAAGGTAGATAATGTATGTACACAAACACATGTACTGTGTATTACACATATTATTTGCATACCATACATTATGTACAGCCAAACACATGTGCACAGAGAATGCACACGTACCAGGCATGGGTACACATGGGCATGAGTATACACCAGACAAGAGCATCACTTCTGTGTGCATGCATGGGCCCACACATGTCAAACACACATGTGTACACACACACGAACACCAGGCATGTGCAAGCACACACACACTGGACAGCTTCTTGCATGCATGCACACACCCCAGGCTGCGCATGCTCATGCACAGTGACCCATCCTGAGATCTCCATGTCCATTTAAATCCAGCTTCAGTCACCGAATATGAGAGCTGAAAGGAGCCTCGGAAAGCACCCAGGAGAAGCCAGGTACAAAAAGGCACCAAGCTGAGGGGCCCAGCTGCTGGCATCCAACTCTGCTTCCCCTTCCAACTGCACACAGGAGGGCGTCCACAAAAACCCACGGACAGTGATGGCCCCAGCCCTGCCTTTTACACAGGAGGGAGCTGAAACAAGCCTGCGTGTGTGCGTGCAGCCGGCCCCTGTCACGTGGCGGGGTAGTGGGAAAGCTGGCACCAGAACACTTCACACTGTGCTCTGTGATAGCACCTTCCTGTCCCAACCCACGTTCCCACGTAACGTCCCACAAATACACCTTCTCCCACGTGCCAAATCCTTCCTGAAACACAGGCTCTGGGCTGTGACGACAGTGAGTCTGTCTGTAAAAGCGGGTCCGCCCCCCTGCCTGCCTGGGGACACCCACAGGCAGCGAGCACCTCACTTCCTCTGAGAGTGGGTGTTCTACTCATCTGACTACCAGCCCCCTGAGGGCTTGCGGCACCAGGCCCCACGTCCCTGTGGGGAGGGAAGGAAACTCATGCTCACAAGTCTGCTTAGTGGGAGGCATGGAGCTGGCCTCACACAGCATCTCCCCTCTGAGCCTTGCAGCAAGGGGGTCTCCACAGAGCATGGGTCTCAGAGCCTGATGGCTCTGGGTCTACCCCTCGCCAATGGCGTGACCTTGGACAAGTCATATGAGCTCTCTAAGCCGCTGTTTTCTCATCAGAAAAATGGGATCAGTAAGAAGGCTTATTAGCCTCAACTGTTTGGAGGAGCCCAAAGGATTCTGCCTGCAAAGCACATGGCAGGCACATAGCAACTGGTCAGCAACCGTTAGGTATCATTGCAAACAGCACGGAGCAGAGCATGTAGCAGGTGCTTATTACGTTATGGTTATCATTATTTACAATGTGGGAATTCTAATTCCCATTTTAACAGGGGAGAAAATCAGGGCTCCAAGAAGCCACAAGACTGACTGAAGGTCCCAAGGTGGTGAGTGGCAGAGGGGGGATCTGAGCCCAGTCCTTCTGACTGCAGACCCTGGTCCCTCCTGGGACGCCACCTGGCCCTGGGGCGAGAGGCACCAACAGGCCCCCTCCCAGGTTCTCACCTGTACTCTGTGTCTCCAGCAGCTTGTGCATGGAGCTGTAGCGCTCAGGTGGGATATTGAGGCTGGTGAGGGTGGGGGGTCCAGAGGTGGGGGCCACCTCCACAAGTGCCTTCTCCTTCAGCATCTCTGGTGGAGGGCTGGTGTGCACAGTGGGGTACACCTTTCCACTGCTCACAGTCCTGCCCGATGCCTCAGATGGAGACCGGGGAGGGGGCGCCTGGCAGCGGACTGGCTCCAGGTGGCAGTCAGCATGGTAGAAGCTGTGCACAGCCTCTGTGCCCCCTGGAGAACCCCCAGGGAGGGCGGGTGTCGAGGGTGGTGGCAGCATGAGCCGGCGGGACCCGTTGGCATCCCTGTCTTGGATCTCCGGGCTGGCCCGGGGTCCCCGCAGTGTCCCGTTGCCCAGGTGGTAGTGGTGGTGATGATGGTGATGGTGGTGCACCAGGTGATGGACGGACGGGCGGCGGTGGGAGCGCGAACAGCTGCCACTGGGCTGGGGCTCCTGGGCCCCCAGGGCTGCTGGACTGCTTAGCAGCCCAGCCCGCACGCCCACCGCCCGGGAGACCTGGGCCAGCCTGCGAGCTGCTTTACGAAGGATGTACACCAGGTACTTGAGCAGCTCTTCGTAGCAGCTGCCTGGCTCCGAGAAGCTGGCCAGGGTGCTGGCGTTGGATAGGAATCGCACGCGCTGCTCCCGCATCAGCTGGCTTTCCCGCTGCTTGGTCTCTGAGAACTGTGTGGCAATCACCACCAGGCACAGGTTGATCATGAAGAAGGAGCCCACCTGTTGGGGTGGGGACAGCGAGAGGAGACGTCCTGAAGAAAAGGGAATTACAGTGCCGGCCACGGAGGGTTAAGTGCATCCTTTATGCCGGGGGCTGGGCTCTATAATCGTCCAAGCATGATCTTATTTTATTCTCATGACAACCTCAAGAGGTGATACTTCTATTATCTTCCTCTAACAGGTGAGGACATTGAGGCTCAGAGAGGTTGAAGAGCTTGCCCAAGTTCATTCAGCTAATGCACGGCAAAGCGAGACTCGAGCTGAGCTCTACGGCATGCCAAGGCATCCCTGTCGATCCCCATGCTACCCTGCAAGGGGGTCTCCTCGACTCCCTGCTCCTAAACACGCCCACCCACAGGCTCTGAACGCTCAGTAAGAGTAGAGAAGGCTGGAGAAATGAGTGCAATCTCGGGGACTCGAGGTTTTCACATTGGGTGGAGCCCTTTGAGACGCTGCCGAAAAGCCTCGTTCACCAGCCTCCTGCTTCCGGTCCCAATTCTAACAGTGTGACCTTGAGTGAGAAACCCTTCACTATGGGGCCTCAGTACCCTCATGTCGGCATGCCTCTTCCCTCCCCTAACTTGGCTGATGAGATGACCCGTGAGCCTGGCAGACCAGCCGCCGGCCGCTCTGACTTGCCCACACCTCCCCATCCCCATCTCCATGCCTCAGGTTCCTCAGGATTCTGGGATAGTTGTTGCTTGGACAATAATCCGGAATGAAGGAAATGAATATTTATGGTGACAAAGCAATTTTTTCTAGATTGTGTCCTAGTAATTATGATAATTAGCTTCGCTAGTGTGATTCCAGAGAGCATTTTGGAGAGATTTTTCAGGGGGTGTGTGGGAAGGTGGAAACCAGGCCCCTTACCTCCCTGTCTGCTTCCTGCCCCTCCCCCAAGCCCAGCAGCATAGTGAAAAAAACCAGCCTTCCTAGAAGCACTGGTTTTGTCACCTCCGGTACTGGTGGGGGTGGGAACGGGCCCCCAGCCTGGCCACTCTGCCACCAGGGAGTGCTGCAGAAGCAGGACAGGGGTGGCTGGGAGGACTCGTTCTTTCTCAGGGCCTACCCACCCTCCCTCACTCACCCAGGGAGCTGCCTTACTTGGCCTCCCCCTCTCGGGAGCTTGACCTAACTCCTGAGTAGATCTTAATCTCTTTCTCTCCGTATCCGTCCGTCTGTCTGGCTCTGTCACTGGCCTCTTGATGACGTGGAAAAAGGACTGGGCTTGGAGCCCATAGCCTGGGGTTGGGTTCTCAGCTCCAGCCACTTAGTGAGCCTGGTGACCAAGCCCTCCGGAGTCTGGAGTTCTCGTTTAAGAGCTGGGGCCCCAAGCCCTGCCACCCGCCCCCAGGGACTACGAAGGTTCGGCAGGCAGCAGCTGTCATGGCACACAGCAGGAGTAACACTGCACCCAGCAAGACTAACCCACAGTACAATCAAAGCCCATGATGTGGTGAGACAAATGAGGAAATGCTGGTCTCCTTGTCTGTCAAGTGGAGAAGGTAACAAGATCGTGGTGAGGAGTAAATGCACCAGCACAGAAAAAACACTGAGAACAGGGGCTGGCGCATAGTAGGTGCTCAATACATATTAGCTATAAGTAGTAGCAATGAAACTGTTAAACTATGAATGGTAGTGATTTCAACTATGAAATATTGCTACTTTTGCCTCTGTCTTCTGTCCTCATTACGTCTTGGAACTTCTGAGCTGGAAGGAACAAGAGATCACGCAGTGTTTCCCAACACCAAATGATGGGAACCTGGGGTGGACCAACGCCTCGCAGGATGTTTCAGGATATTTCCCATCTCCTGCCTGCTCCCCAACAAAGTGCCAATAGTGCTCTCCTAGTCCTGGTAAAAAACAAGACCACTCTATGCCACTTTTAGAGGTGGTGTTACCCTGGGGTGAGAAGCACCCATTTTGCTAATGAAGAAACAGAGGTCCAGGGTGGGGCTGGGGGCCTCATGAGAATGACTTGCCCAAGGTTGTAAGTGCTGGTAAGTGATAAAGCTGAACCTTGACCTTGTATTTCCTTCTGAGTGCCCTTGACAGTTGCTGTGTGTGTGTGTGTGTGTGTGTGTGTGTGTGTGTGTGTGTGTGTCTTAATGGGACTCATCCTGAGAGCTAGAACTTTATCCGAAGCAAGCTTTCCCCTCTCTGGACTTCCCCAACCCACTTCCCCAGAATCCCCCATCCCCTCAAGGGCCTGAGGAATTACTCACGATGATGAGCAGGATGAAGTAGATGAAGTTGTAGAAGGAATGAGCATCCATCACAAAGTACATGATGTCGACCCAGCCCTCCAGCGTGATAACCTAGGGAGGTGGCAGAGGGGCAGGCTGACTCTGGGCCCCCTAAATTATCCTGCAGTCTCCTCCAGGGGTCCTGAGCCCACCCCACCCTGAGAACAACCGCTCCAGCCTGTCCTGGGGAATCTCCCGGCACCCAGGCTGCCCCACCTGGAAGATGGCGATCCAGGCATAGCCGATGTTGTCGAAGTTGATGGCGCCCTTGAAGGGGTTGTGCTCCCCCGCAGAGCAGTTGGTGTAGTACTGGTTCCAGTTGACGCAGGTGGTATTGCTGGAGCTGTTGTAGGACTCGTAGTCCAGGCCGCAGGGTGGGCCGCCGCCCCCTTCCCCACGCAGGGTGGGCACGCTCCTGCAGGAGCGCATGCCATTCTCCCGAGGCTGGGAGCAGATGAAGGGGTTCTCGTCCTCATTCTCTGTCTGGTAGTAGCGCTCCAGGTCCACGCTCAGGGGGCTGTGGAGGGGACAAGGATGAGGCGGGGGGTGGGTTCTCTGAGGGGAAGGCCGGGGAAGGAAGAGCTGGATGAGAGCACTGAGGCACGCAGGGTGAGCGGAAAGGGAACAGAGTCGGGGCAAGCTTCTGGCAGGCCAGGGGATTTGTGAGTGTGGACTGGGAGTGTGAGGACTGAGTGGGAAACTCTAGAGTCGGGATGTTGGAAGGTTACATCCTGGACTAGTGGTTGTCCAATGGGGCTGGACATCAGGCTCACGGAGGGGCTTATAAAGCTCCCCAGGCCCAGGCTGACCCCCAGACCAATGAAATCAGAATCTGTGGGGGTGGGATCAAGGCCTCAGAAATTTAGGCTGCCCAAGTGACTTCAGTGTGTAAGGTTGAGAACCAGACATGCCATTCACGTGAGAACACATATGTCAACAGCAACAGGGACTGAAAGCACTCCCAGCCTCACGACTACTCCCAGGTCACCCACAGCGACACTCACAGGCTGAAGTTCTCGGGCAGGAAGCACCGGTTCCGAAGCAGCCCTGCCCACAGCTGGACGCCCACGATGCCGAAGATGAAGAAGACGAAGAAGCAGAGCAGCAGGACGTTGCCCAGCATGGGCAGCGTGTCCAGCAGCAGGGTGACCAGGATGCGCATGCCTGTGGGGGACAGAGGCCACACTGGGGGTGCCAGGCTGGCCACCCTGGCCCTGCCAGAGCTCCCAGAAGGGGCCCACCAGAGAGGGCCCCTGAGGCTAAGACGACCCGGCTCACGCTGGAGGGCAGACCAACAGACACCTCGAACTCCGCAGGCAGCCCTTTGCAGCCACCAACCCTTCCGGCAGTCTCTCTCGTCTCCCCCACACAAACCAGCTTTTGAGCCCACCAGGGGCGAACCAGAGTCACTGCAGTTTCCAAAGCACCCTCCTGCACTGCACCCCACCCAGCATCATCACGGCACAGGGGGCACCCCCAGTTTACAGATGAGGACTGAAGCACAGAGAAGTGACGTGACTTGTCCAGGATCACAGAGCAGCTAACTGTAGGCTACCGGGCTTTCTGCTCCCAAATCCCACCACACACACACACACACACACACTCCCCTCCTATTCCTGCTCTCACCAGACACAGTCAGCTGACCTTTCTAAGTTATTGCCTCCGCAGTCATTGGGGAAACTGAGGCAGAGAACTCCAGGAGGGACTTAGCAGGCAGGAATCTCATTTGAGATCCAGGCCCCTAGTAAGGCCAAGATGTCCTATGCTCCACTATGGTTCTCAGCTCCTGCCCTGGGTCTACTCTCTGCGTGGTCCAGATCCCCACATCAGGACCTGAGGGGACACAGGCTAACTTCTCAGGTGGCCATCAATGAACAACACCCATTCCAGGGAAAGCCATCCCCTGCCCAGCCACCCAACTTGTCCTGTTAGAGAAGCTGTCCCCCCTTACCACTCCAGGTCTAGGACCAACCAGTCCACAGGTCTGAACCAGCCCCAGGCCATCAAGCCCCTGTCAGACTCACAGGTCCCTAATGGCTGGTTTTGACTCCTAAAGTGCCGCTCACCACCCCCTGCCCATCCAGGGAAAAAGCTTCTAAGTGGCAGTTAATTGACAGCTAATCAGTTTGGTGACTGCAACCGCCCTGTTCCTGCCCCATGCAGCCCTGGGCTCTCAAGTCAGTCCCTCTCCCCTTCCTCCAGCCCCAGCCCCCTTCAGCTCCTCAGTGCTCCAACTGAGATCAATTCCTCAGGGTTTGCATTAAGGGAATTAACCCTGGCGGTTAGACAGAAGCCTATAAATCTGCCAGCATCACCTGGGGCAGGAGAAGAGGCGAAGGCATGTGTCCTCTGGAGGGCCTGTTAACACCAGCACATCCCACACCTGGGGGACACACTGAGCAGCTCTGCCCACCCAGAGGCAGCTGTATCTCTCTCTCTCTCTCTCTCACTCACACACACACACAGCAAAGGGGGCTGCTGCTACATCAGGCACAGAACCCATGAACTTGCTCCCCCACCCCACCCCACTCTTGGGACTGCAGCAGACACCAGGTGCAGTTGTCTAGGTTGAGGAGCTGCAAAGGGGGCCTGTGCAAGGGTGGGGGGCAGGATGTATGGGGAGCTAGAGCTGCCAAAGCTTCATTGGCTCGGGAAACCAATGCGGTTTAATTTAGATAATGGTCCCGGCAGTCAGTTGCTGCAACGGGTTGGAAGGGGGTGGGAATGAATAAGGGGATATAGGTGGGAGGGTGAGGCATAGAGTGGCCTTGTCTTCGGAGACGTCATGCTTCGTGTGGCCAGTGTGGTCTCACCAGTGAGAACCAGATTGCATGAGAGGCTGTTCTGGCTAGAAAAGGCGATGGCACCTTGCACCCACTCCTGGCCTGCCATCCTCTCTACTTCATTCTTTCCACCCCTATTCCAGGGGAGGAGGTGGTCATCTAGCTGAAGAAGGGCTCATCTGAGACATTTCTGAGACTCTTCCCCCAAATCAGGTTAAAACGAGGAGAGAGGGTCTTTCCAGATAATTCGTACAGTGCTCTAGCCAGGGGTAGGGGCTCCATTGAGCTCCAGTGAACCCAAGTCCCCGCTGAGCCGGGTCCTGATGAGGCCTGTGAGTGGTCAGGTCGGGGTGGGGCATGAGATTCCTATATTTCCTCTTGGGATTCTGCATCCAGGGTCTGAGGGCTGAGGGCTGAGGGGTCACTCACTGGGCACCCGGTTGATGGCCCTGAGCGGCCGCAGCACACGGACTGTCCTGACAGCGGAGAAGCTCACGTTTTGCAGGTCCAGCGAGTACTCCAGCATCCTGCGGGGAGGGGCCCAAAGGGAGGCCCTTTGAGTCTGAGGCCGTGGCGGGGGTCAAAAGAGGTCAATGAGGAATCCTGCTGCAGAGGGGCAGCACAACCTCCGACTCCTCCCCCTCCTCCACCCAGGGACCCTGCAGAGGGAGTGAGTGGATGGACAGGCCATGGATTCAGAGAAGTACAGGCCGGAGCGCTGCAGGCAGGACAGCCTCAGACCCTTACTGGAGAGCCAAAAGAAACGGTGCTGTAGGAGGGCTGGGGGGCGGGGCTCAGGCCTAGGACTCTGGACCTGGGGAAGGGACTGATCTGATCCCTCTCTGGCCCACCCCCAGCCCAGGCTCTCACCCTGCAATAACGATGAAAAAGTCCAGCCGGTTCCAAGTGTCTCCCAGGTAACACTTTTTCCCAAAGATGCCCAAGGCCACCATCTTCACCACCATCTCCACAGCGAAGAAGGCAAAGATGAAGTCATCAAAGGCCTGATGTGGGGATGAGAGGCTGCTGAAACTGAGAAGGGGGTGGGGGGGACGTGCCCCACCCCCACCCCCACCCCACCAGTGGGGTCAGGGCCTCTTGTAGAGAAGGGGTCGGGGTTATCAAGATCAGGAGCGTCCTCCTTTCTCCCCGCCACACACACACTACTCACCTGCAGGATCCGGCAGCGCTGGGAGTCACAGGCGATGTCCTCACATGGCCGGAACATGCCCAGAGTGACACAGTTGAGAAGGATGACCAACATGCTGATCCGCTCAAACCAGGTAGATAGATGGTCAAGGAAACAGCTGGCTGGGGCTGGAGCTGAGCCCACGCCCCCGCGCCCCACCCCAGTGCCTCCTGCTTCTTGACCTCCCAAACCCATCGGACAGGTGCCGTGGGAAGGCCCTGACCCTGCCCCACCCTGGTCATCTCACCCCTCCAGACCCAGCTTCCTCATCTGCAAAGTAAGAAAAGCCACAAATACTCTGACTATTTACACAAGGCATTTGGGGAATAAAATCGATCACACTTATGGAAATGCCAGACACTGAGAGTTTGCTGCTGAATATGAATCCCGTTCTCCCCACCGCCCCGGGAAGATGTGAGAAGCAAAGGAGATAATGTATGTGAACGTGCGACACAAAACTGAAGTCAGAGCGAGTCTGCCTTACAGTTTACCAAGCACATTCACACCACGCCGCAGTGGGTGCTCACCACAGCCCCGTGAGGGATCTAGGGTAGATTGATTTTCCCCAGACCCAAGGAAACTGAGGCTCAGAGAGCCGAAGGCACGTGCTGAAGGTCACAAGAGAAGCCGGAATGAAACAGATTCCCAAGCCTCTGATCTGGAAGAGCTGCTTCTGTACTGATGCTCAGGCACGCGGGACAGGGGCGGCCATGGCCAGGCTGAGCGCAGACAGGCACAAGCAGACGCGAGGGTCCGCGGCTCCACTACAGCGGCGCAGCCCACGGCCGCCTCTCCCACCACCAGCCCCCTGGCCTCTCCAAGACCTCAGATGGCCTCTAGACAGTCACACATTTAAATAAGGAGAACCCACCACACACCACGCCCTGTCGTTAGACACGAGCCCCCAGCCTGTGCAGAGCGGACAGTACCCTGCACTCACAGACCAGGCCACCTTCACACCGGCTGGCGGCTTCCCGTGAAGCCCCAGCCCAGACCAACTAAAACAGACTCTGTTCTGCAGCGATCGGCCGAGAGGGGGCTTTCAACACCCCTAGTCTTTCCACACAGCAGACTTTATTAAGGGGCTCACTTCCAGCCCATCAACAGGAGAATGTGCAAAATGGCCTCTGGACCTTAGAAGGTTCTGGGCACCAGACTCAGAGCTAAGTGACCAAGCAGCAGAAACTGGGGTCGGGGGAAAGAAGACCTCAGGGATGGGATGGAGGGAGGGAGGGTGTCATGGCAGCTCACAGGTGGCTCGCCACGCCAGACACAGTGGGGTGGAGAGGGCCCTTCCTGTTGTAACCCCACTTCTGGAGTGAGAAGCCTTTGACCAAGGACCCAGCGCCTGTCTTCCCCGCTGACCCCAGCCACACCCCATGTCTGTCCCGAACCTCAGACCGTGTCCCCCCGCCCGGGGCCCGTGACTCCCTTAATCCATCCATAGCCTTCCTCCTCCTCCTCCTCTGTTGCCCAGGCCCTTTTCCCTCAGACTCACGTCACTTCCCGCCATCGGATACCCAACCATCCCAAGGCAATTTCCCTAACCTCCACCTCCTCACAAAAATAAAAGTTTTAAAAAAAGTTCTAGGTTTTGGGGGTAAGCAGATGGGAGTGGGAATAAAGAGTGCTCCGTTTCCATGGAGCTGCTTTCCTGAGTGGAGTCAGAGCCCAGTGGGTCTCTCCCCAGAGTGGGGGTCAGCCAGGAGTCACCCCGGAAAAAGGGAGACGGGGGAGAGCTCCCCTGGGGCCATCATCTGGAAAAGGCAGGACGCAACCACTCTCAAGAACTGGCCCACTTTCCCCAAGCTAGCCCCCCTCCCCTCCTCTGCAGGGATGGGACCCATGTGGGCCGCTGTCCCCATACAGGGCAGGGCGGGGAGTTCTCCTGGGACACCTGTTCGACCCCTCTGACTCCTCCCTGTCGTTCTGCGCACCCATCTCTCATCTCCTGTGCCAAGGCAGGGGCGCTCTGACATACCTCACATGCCCTGCAAAGCTCAGAGCAGTGCTGGCACATAGCAGGTGATTGATACATGGGAAGAATGAATTGATTAAGTAATGAGTCAACCAATGAATCAATCAATCTCCCTGCCTAGAAGCCAAATGTATCTCCTCATTTCTGTTTTCCTGCCTTATTCACCTTCACACTGATAACCAAGGCAGGAGTGAGAGGGAGGAGGTGCAGAAGTGATACCATCGGGGAGCTGTCCCTCCTGTCCCCAGATGCTCACACTGGGGCCTCTTATAGCCAGAGCCTGCCCCCAAATAACCCCACCTCCACCTCTTAACCACAGAAGCCGCTTCTCAAGGGCCCCTTTGGCAATTCAGCTTACTCCCAGCTGCATCCGCCTTCTCACTACTTCTCTCCTTTCCCTACAAGTAAACATAAATGGACAGCGGATACACCAAGGCACAGAAAAATTGGGGACAGTCTGCATTAAGAGATAATTAATGGGGTGGGGGTCTTTCACCTTTCTCAGGGTAGGACTTGTTTCCTTGGGAATGTAGCTGAATGTCACTGTGATGCTCCTCTGTTGCCATAACAACAGGAGAATGTGTCACCAGGTGGTGTGGATTTGTTGCCATGGTAATTAAAAGGACCCCTCACACATGAACTCCCCTTACTCAAGCTGCTGTCTAGTCCTCAAGCAGGGAAGAAGCGGGGAGACCCACAGGTTATCAGGTTGGGGGGGAACATGTGACAAATCTCCATGGCAACCAAGGGAACGGGGGACACTGGTTGCCATAGTGACTATGAGAGACCTGTGCAGTCACATGTCTACTGTTGCTATGGTGACTGTCCGGGTTGGAGTGGATCCCAAAGGGGGGAGGTGGGTAGGAGAGGGAGAATCTTTCTTTTCCACACAACCCACCATCAAAAGCAGAGAAAAAGGAAATGGCAGGGCAAGGGACCCTGCTTCCATCCCTCCTCCTCCTCCCTCCAGGAGTGAGAACTAGAGCGTGTTATCTGTACAACTGTGTCCTCTCTGTGGGGCTTTATCTAGAGCCCTTGCCTAGCCTGGCAGCTGTAGGGGCGAGGGAGGTGGGAGAGGAGGGAGGAGGGCCGGGGCTCCTCCAGAGGCCCCGGGGCACGACTCCGGGCAAGACCGAGAAGAGATGCAGGCCCTGCGGCTGCCCTGTCCCCCGCTAGGAACGTGCAAAGCTGAAAGGCGGGAGCACTGAGGAGGAAAGGGGCCTGGACCCAGGAATCCTGGCCTCCTGGTGGTTGGCGGGAAGTGGGGTGCTGTTCTCACCCACGCTGTGGAGAGGCTGGTGTCTACGGGACCCAGCATTCCCCGAGTTGGGGGTGGGCTACGAGGGCTCGACAGTGAGGCTCCTGCTGCAAAGGCAGAAGGGGGATTCCCTAGCCGATCCCCCACTCCCACACGCCCGTTTCCCAGTGGTCTCCTGCCACCAGCTCCAGCGTGTGGGTGTGTGGGGAGAGAGGTTTCCAGCTGAACTGAAAACTGAAGCCTGAAGAAAGGCAGCCGGCCCCACCCATAGACAGAGACGCGAGGCAGAGACACGAGAGAGCCGGCCTGCTGGAGTCTTTGGAGAGGAAATAGGCCAGAAATCTGATTCAAATGTCTGTGACTGTGTGTGTGTGTATGTCTGCGTGTGTGAGCATTTGTGTCTGTCGCCATCCTGGCTGAGGCGGGCAGGGTGGGGTGAGAGCTGGGGCGGGAGCAGGCAAGGGGTGAGGGGTGTGTGGTGGGGGTGATCCCAGGAATGACTCCAACTGGCACCACGGGTGATGGGGAGTCCCCCGAAAGTGCCGTGGAGTGTGTGGCTCGGAAGGAAAGTGGGCCCGGGACAGAAAGAGCGCCAGGGGGTACTCTGCCCCCCACCCCCAAGTCCGATTCAATTCCCCGGCCCCAGCCCTTCTCTCCAGAACCCGCTCTGGGGAACCCTGGGTTCGAAAATCGGAGGAAGGCAGTGGTGTGGAGGCAGAAAGAACACCCCTCTCCTGCTCCCTCTGAGGACCAAAATGGCGGTCCCTCCCTGGGCAGGAGAAGCAGGCAAACTTGGGGCCCTGGGACAGGGGCAAGGAAAGCTCCAGAAATTCCAGGTACCCCTCCTCTCCAGACACACACACTCAGACACACACAGTGACGCAGACGCACGCACACGCACACTCACTTCTGGAAGCCATTAGGGTTCCTGCCCGTTCAGGCCTTCCCCTACTCCTCCCCCAACTCCTGGCAGGCTCCCCTCTCCCCCTCTGGCCCCCCTCCCCCTCTCAGCATCCCAAATGCCAGCCTGTGATTTCCAAATGAGAAAAAGCTGTGCTGGGCTCCGAGCTTGGAGAAACTCCTACACAAACTTCCAGATGTGACAGAACAGCCGGAGAGGGGAAGCTCAGGATCTCCTTCCAGGGAGGGGCGACACGCTCCCTCACACTTGAAGAAACACAGACTGGAGTGTCCACCACACTTCCCCGTAACCTGGCGGTGGGGGGGGGGTGGGGGGAGCGGCTTCTGACTCCACATTTACTATCTGGAAGTCTCCCCAGTACCAAGGCATGAACTTCCAAGGCCCTCCTCTTTTTGCTGCCCTCCTTCCTTCCCCAACACACACACACACACACACACACACACACACACACACACACACACACCCTTCTACCTAGGTCTAGATCTCCTCTCTAGGAAACCTGGTCTCTTCAAGAAGCTAAGAGAGGAGGAGACCTGAAAGGAATGCCAAGAAGTCTCTAACTAGCTTCAGTGAGTTGGGGGGGGGGGGAGGTGTCCTTAGGTCCTTCAGGCTCAGGGGCACAGAGAGGAACCTTGTGGAATCAGGGAAGCTTTTCAGAAACCCAAAAAGACAGCAAGGGGAACACTGAGGCCCAGAGTCAGTTCAGAGCCCCTCTGGCAGTAAAAATACAGGTTTCCCTTTCAACACTTGGGTGCAGTGGCGTGGTGGGGGCACATCTACAAAGCCACCTTGCCAGGAAATTGTGCTCGGCCTGTCCTCAGCCAGTCCAGCCCCAGGGGCTTGTCCAGACCTTAGTGATGCCATGCCCCACACCCCAACTCCCACCCCAGAGGAAAGCTTGCTCCCCCACACCGAAGATGAGCACTGGGCTCCTACCTCTCCTCTCATTCCAGCCCTCTCCACTTGCCCCCTCCAAGAACACCTCCAGGAGGAAATCCGTCCAGATCACCCACTAGCACCCGGAGTTAGGGCAGGTGGGGAAACGCTAGCCAAGAGGTCAGGTTTTTGTGGAGGGGGAGGGAAATGGGAGAGATCTCTCCACCTGCCCTGGACCCCTAAGGAGGGGGTGGGGCTGGGGCTGAGGTTTTTCTCATTCATGGAGAAGGTGGGTAGTTAAGGGTGGAGAGAAGAAATGCCCAGGGCCCATCCTTTTCAGAGACATTTGTTCCCTCCCCATCGCCATCTCTGCCACAGAGAAAGGGACCTGGGGGCAGGGGGCGGAGGCGGGGAAAGAGTCAGAGCCCAAGATGAGCCTATTCAGCAGGTCTAGACCTCTGAGGCCCCCACCTCTCACTGCCTGCAGCTCAGAGAGAAAGGAAGAAGGGGCAGGGGACAGAGAGAGGGTGTGATGAGGGGAGCTTCCTAAAGACCCACGGGGTGTACAGGATGGGGGTTGGGGGACCCGAGCTCACATTCCTGCTTTGCGCACTGGCGGCAGCAGCGCTGCAGAGAGTGAGGGCAGCACCAAGCTTCCCCCCACCCCCCGACTTCCCCAAAGCTGAGTGCCGGTTGGGCTCTCAGGGGTTACGAGGGAGACCTGCAGTCTACCACCCTGGGCCTAAAAGAGCCCCTGAGCCGGGAGGAAGGAGCCAGGAGAAGCTGTCCAGACCTGGGATGGCAGTGCACCCTCGCCTCTTTCCTTCCGGCCGTGGTGGGACCCGCCCGGGAGCAAGGAGCCTGGCATTAGTCAAGCGTCGCTTTGTGCTAGTGGCTTAGGAGGAGAGGCCGTGGGGATGAGGGGGCTGGGGTCTCCCATACCACCCCAAACTGGGCAGAGGCTAGGTAGGGGGCAGTGCTAAATCTATCCCCCCCGCAATTCAGGGCTCGCCTTCCACAGACCCGTCCGAGGAGCAGACACTGGGGTGGTGGAGCCAAGTCCTCCTTCCCGAACTGGCCTACAGTCTCAGCGCCCCCCACCCCCGCCTCAGTACTTTCTTGAAGGGCTGTGGTCTCCCATACCTGGTCTGTGATCCAACAGGAACACTCTTTATTTGCAAAAGGGAATGGATAACTTAAACCGGCTTAATCCCATCCCCCACTTGCCAAAGCTCTAGCCACAGTCTTTCCCTCCTCAAGAAAAAAAAGAAAAATCTAGCACAAAACTCCCAACCCAACCTTAAGCAGCCCGCATTAAATGAATTGTGGAGAAGGGAGGCATTCTGGCACCCGACTCCAGCCGAAAGGGTCCCTACTCCGGTTCTGGGGGCAGACAGCTCCCCCTTCACCACATCTTGTTCTCATTCTGCGCCCCTGACATCAGCCGCCGCCGGAATCTCCTTGTTGTGCCTCCAACCCGCGGGGGGCGGAGGGGGGTTAGGACCTGGTCCCCGCGCCGCCCCCAACATTTCCTTCTGGGTCAGTAAAAAAAACCCTCCGCCTCAACGACCAGGTGTGGGGGTGGGGGGAATCAGACCCTAGAATCCACAGCAAACTTTGGAGCGGGGGCAAAAGGGAAACCCGGGAGATTGCAGTCCCCCCTCCCCCGTCCCCGCAGCTTCCTCCCCACCCCACCCCCCAAACTCGGAAACCAAACCCAGCTCGCTAACCAGCGGCGGGCGGAGTAGAGATCCCAGGCTCCCGAAGCTTCCCACATCTGGAGGATGACGACCCTCCCCTGCCCACATCTGGAAAGTATCCAGCTGCAAACCAACGGGGCACGTCTCCTCTCTTTTCCTGGCCTGGATCCCAACCCCCCAAGGAGAACTGAGGTGTGTGTACCGAGGTGGGGTTCGCCGGGGTATCTGCCAAACCTGCTCGCGTCTCTGCTCCCCCTCTGACGCCCCCTCCCCTCCTTAGCAGCCCCCCTCTCATTTTACCACCTTCTAGGCTCACTATTCCGACTCACCTGGCTGTGGGTCCCCTCTGGCGGTGCGGCCCGCCCCCCTGCGGACCCCAAGACTGGCCGTCGTGCCCGGAGGATATGGATTACAGACGGTGCGGAGACACCAGCTCCGCGGGCGGCTGTCCTGGCTCAAGTAGAAGAAGACCACCGGGGCCAGCGCCGGGTACGGCAGCCCCTCTGCCTCGGAGTCCGCGCTGCCCGGGTCCTTTTCCGCTGACCCCGGCCCCGGCCGGCCCCCAGCCCCCGACAGGTCGTTGAGCCGCATGAAGCTCCGGGGCTGTCCTGACTCCTCGGCGCCCGCTCCATCCTCCTCCTCGTCCATCCTCTGGCCAACCGGGGCCCCGGGCGGTCTCGAGAGGGGTGAGCGGCGCCCCTCAGAGAAGGTGTCCTCACGCAACCGGGGGGCCCCGGAGGGGGCGCATCTGGGGGGCTCTAGGGCGCAGGCTGAGGCCCCGGGAGGGCCAGTTCAGCCCAGCTCCCCCAGCCCGCAGGGGCATGCTGCCCGCGGGGCGCCGGGTCTCAGGCAAGCACCTCCCGACGCGAGTCCCGCTTCCCCAGGGCCCCTGGGGCCCCCTGGGCCAGCCGGCCGGCTCCCCCTCACTTTGTTCCGGCTTCTTCGCTTCGCGCCTAGGCTCCGGTCGCCCGATTCGGCGCTACCTTCGGCGAAGCTGCCCCGAGAGGGGAAGAGAGAAGGGGGGCGGAGGGCGGGGGTCCGGGGAGGGACGCCCCCTCTTCCCGCGCCGCAGCTGGAGCAGGTCTAAGGGGTCAGCATCGTCCCGGCTCCGCGCCAAAGACGGAGGGGGGAGGGGAGGAGGGATCTCTTTGGGGGTGGGTTTGGAGGGGGTGGGGGCCGGCTCCTTCCTCCGCCCCGCGGCGGGCTCACGGTCCGGGAGGGGCGGGGAGACCGTGGGGGGCAGTCCCGGGCGGGGGTGGAGGCGGGGATGCAGCCACCGCCGTGGCTGCTGCCGCCGTAGCTTTCGCCGGCGCCACTGGCCTTCTCCGGCCGAGACGCGGAGCGAGCAAGCGAAAGCGGCGGCTTAGGAGCCCGGCGCACACCACAGCTGGATCCCTCACTCCAACTTCAAGCCTCGGCCCCGCCTCTCCCCAGCCAGCATCGCAGCCAATCGCCGCCAGCCGTCGACCCCGAGCTGCAGGCCTATTGGCCAATCGCCGTGGCAGTGCGGGAGGGGGCGCCCCGGGAGAGAACCACAGCTGGAATCCCGTTCCCACCCCAAAGCCCAGGACCGCCCCCCTCCCCTCCCCTTGCCCCTGGGTCCTTTCCCGCAAGCCGGAGCCAATTAGACGGCTACGCAGACGGAACCCACTTTCCTATTGGCCGCTGGGGTCTCTGGGACTCCTCTGGAGGAAGCCCCGGGAAATCAGAGTATTCGGCGCGGGGTCCTGGGATCGCTCAGACAGCCCCCCAGCATCCTTTGTCCAAGACCGTTGAATTGGACCGTAGCCGGAAGGCGGGGCTTAGCTCTGGGAGGGCGTGGAGAAAAAGGGAGGCAGACAGCCCGGGATGTGGGGTGTGACCAGGGTCCCAGAGCGAAATCTAGGTAGCCACCGGATTAATCGCCCATTCTGGAGTAGAATTCGGGAGCCGGACTAAGGAAGGAGAAGAGCGGGGCAGGATGTCCCGACATCAGGCTGGAAGGAGCTAGTCTTGGGGAAACAGGCGGAGCCAAGGAAAGGCAGGGGTGGGCAAGGTCTGGGCGTGGCCTCCAGCAACCTCTTGAGCTTGTTGATCCCGCTTCCAGTCCTCTCTAACTACTTTGACTCTGGTCTCCTAACCCTAACCCGCTGACCCTGACCTCACATTGACACTCCTGAGTTTCATTCCCTCTGCTCCCAGGTATCCTATGGAGGGCGTGAATCCCACGCTGGGACTTGGCTCTGGAACACGTGGCCCCCAGCAGGTTACGCCGGATCCAGAGCCCGGATCCCCAAGAGCAGCTACAGAGCAGAGATAAACTCCAGCGAATGGACCTGGGGTTGGGGCAGTTTCAAGTGTGTGGGAGAGGGTGGGAGCCCAGAGCTGGGCTTTGCCGACTCTTAACCTGCTAAGTTTCACCAAACCCCCACTCCGTGCTTCAATTTCTCCCTCCCAAGTTCCAGTATGGGTTAGGGGGAGGCTGCCCTCAAGACGGCCGTTTCTCGGGGCGCTCTCCTCGTATGTAAAGCTCCATCCTACCAAGGAGCGGGCCCACGCACGGCCAGACCCCAGCCCCCGCCCTGCCTCACCTTCCCGAGTCCCGAGCTCAATAAGCCACAGTTCCCGCTTACTGCCACCTCAAAAGGCTGTGGGTATCAGGGAGCAGAGTGCCGCGGGAGTGCTGCGCGCTGGGTGAGCTGGGGAGGGGAGGATCCTCTAATCGAGGATTAGAGGTCGGGAAGCACTTTTTCACTTGTGCAAAAGATAGGGCCGAACCAAGCAAGTTGTCCTCCCAAGACTTCGGGGCGCGTACACCACTGCGGAGAGGCAGAGGAATAGACTAAATGACCTCCCGCACCGTCCCCTTCCCTCTCTTCCCCGGCGTTCTGGGCTCCCCCAAGGCTGCGCCACTAGCGCAGCTCCCTACTCCACCCCACCCCCTCCCTGCGCCTCCCGCCGCCTGGGGTGGGTGTCTCAGTTCCCTCCCGGGCGGAATGCGGGAAGTGCGATGGGGAGGGCATTGCTGCTGCTGTGCCATCCCTCCCTGGTTGTCCTTTCGCCGAATCCAGGCATCGAGTTGTGCAAATGAGGCCGGGCTCATTTGCATTTCATGCTAATGAGCAGATCCCTTAAGTGCTTCTTTCTCCTGGCGGGAGCCTCTGCTCTCATTCTGCGTGTGCAGAGCCAGAGTCTTGAAGTCGCAGCGGTCTTCTGGGAGAGGGGCCTATTTATGGTTGGCTCCGTGTGTCTGACACCTTCTTCCCTCCCGCCGGTCCGCAGTCTGCCAGGTTGGCCTGCCCTTCCGGGATGGTGTCAAGAGGCCTAGAGAAGGTAGTGACTCTAACCACCCGCTTTTCGCTTTTCGTAAGGGGAAAATGAGGCCAGAGAGGCTTGGTCAGGTTTCCTGGGGGTAGCAGGCATAACACCTTCATCAACCATCCAGGCCACCCAAGACTCTGGGCTGAACTCCGTTCCAGAACTTACGCAGAAAGGGGAGCAGACACAGGCACCATCAGGACAAACTGAGACCCAGATTTACCTCCCTGGGCTAGGGGTCTGGGTGACCTGCTACCTAAGGCATCCTGGTCTCTGTTCATGGCACCAGGGGACTCATAATCTGCTTCAGGGATGTTTAGCCAGAATGGGGGTGGGGCGGGGAGAGAGGAGACAGGACCCACAGAAAAAGCAAAGAAATCCTTGACATCATCTTTAACTCCAACCCTCCAAGCTTCATCTCTGACATCACCTCCTCAGAGTGGCCTTCTTTCAGCAATTTCATGGTGCCCAAGTGCCAAGGTGCTGAGGACACGGCACGGAGCCAAACAGGAGCCTGGAACCTCATAGCACTTTGCCCAGGCTGGGACTACATGGTTACATTTGTGGTGATGAAATGATTATCTCATTCTCTCCGTTCTATGTTCCCTGAGGGCAGGGGCTATGTCCATTTCACTCCTCAGGGCCTAATGCAGTGTTCGGCACATAGTAGGTGCTTAATAAATCTACTATGTTAGATGAATGAATGTATAACCTCAGTCAGAGAGAGGGAATGAGAGGGACAAGAAATTCCTTCCTTTGGGCCCCTGTTTCCCAACCAAGAAGTTAGGCCTAAGTGGTCTCTACGACTTCTGGGTTTGAGGGGGCGCCCCGGTAGCAGCACAGCCAGCGGCCCCTCCAGCCGTCTCCCCTTTCCGCCTCCCTCACAGCCTGGCTGGCTTCCTCAGGAATGGAGATAATCTTCCCATCTGTGATGCTCTCTGCTCAGCGATGATACATTGTTCCATTTAGTCACCTCACAGCCTTGGGAGTTGGGTGGTGGTTGTCCCATTTTTTTGACATAAAGAAACCGAGGCTCTGAGAGATGAAATTACCTAAGTGACTGCCCAAACCACAGGGCCCTGCCTCCAATGGCCCTGGTCCCCAGCTCCTCCAGGACAGTGTTGCCGGGCAGAGCAAGGAGCATAGCCAAGAGGGACTGACATGAGGAAGGCAAGCTACAGACTTAAAATCCCACATATGAGCAAGACTTGCATTGAGACTTGCCCTCTTCTGAACTAACCCTTTCAGGCCCCACCTCCTTCCTCTGAATCCATTTACAGAATCCCAGTGTCAGGTGCCTGTCTGGTACCAGCAGAAGGGAAAGAGGAGACACACAGAGCAGAAGGAACACTGGAAGGAGGGACAGGTGACACCAAATGCACCCTCCCTCACAGCTGTGCCCGCACCTCCTGGGGGGGGGGGAAGCCTGGGTGATCTGTACTGCGTGCGCCCTGAAGGCCACAGAAAGAACTTATGTGCTGAGGGGTCTCAGGCCAGTCTCTCTGGGGCTTGAATATTTTCATCTGTATGAGGCCAAAGTACCTTGTCACCTCATTCATGAAAAGTCAATGGTACATCAGACACAAGAGGACTTTGCAAACTGCCTAGACCTTTCCAAAACCAAGGCTGGGACTGCCAGAAAGGCCACCTGCACTTCACAACGCTCCACCCTCCCTCCTCGCTGCCCCCAGACCAGGCTCCATTTGCCTAGCCCTCCCTCAGATTTCCTGGCAAGGCTGAGCAGGTTCCAGCCAGAAAGGGGACAGCTGACCTTGTTGGCCAAAGCCCTAATCCCCTCCAGATGGGCCGGTGGCCTGCACCGAGGGCCCAGCTAAACCCTGGTCCCAGTGACCATGTGTGGCTGTGTGTGACCGTGTCCAGGGGATGGCCATGGTCCTCAGGAGACCTGGGAGTGACTCAATCCAGCCTCCCAGCTCCTTCGCACCCTGTTCCTTGTCACTGCTGACATCTCTACAAGCAGTGCCCTCCTTCCACCGGTGCCCCGCAGCTTCTTCTGGGTACCTGCACTGCTTGGCTGCGGCTAAAAGGATGCTCAGGCTCAGCAGACCCCTGAAGGTCTGGAGGGGGGAAGACAGCGCCGCCTGTCAGCCTCGTCCCCCTACCTCTGCCCTTCCCAAAGCACACCTCCTAGTCCTCTTCCCACAGTGGGAGCTCAGTGGGGTTTGTGAAGAGATGGGTGCCAAGAACGAGGCTTGTATCTTCCAACATGGAGGGGACAGGAAGCGGTCACAGCAAGGCACCAGCTTTCCCCACAGCAGGAAGAACTCCAGTTTGGAGACGGACTTCCAACTCAACAGATGTTCCAGATGAAAGGAAACTCTTTCCCCGGCCCGGCCTGTGTGCGAGCAGGGGCTGGACAATATGGCATCCTGCAGGAAGCCTTCGGCTCCATCCTGGCCAGGCCGAGGGCTGGATGCACACCCCAAAAGAAAGGCCCTTGGTCCTGATAAGAGCAGCTCCCGCTGTGTACTGGAGTGTGTGCAAATGTGGCCATGTC